GGATTATTATGTTTCCTATATCTTATTACAGCAGTAACATAATATATTCCGTATTCATCATGTCACTAGATTTTCACTTTTCCGCCAGCACATTTCACGGCTAACAAGTTCACGTGAAAAGTTTCACGTTTCCACGTTTCGCCGAGTTAGGTGATCACGAGTTCACGTGAAACTTTTCACTTTTCACGTTTCCTAGGGGAAAAGTTACATGATCGCTGCTCTGAGCTGGTTCGAGCTCGGAAGCAATTCGATTTAGTTTTTTTTTACAGTCCTTTATACAGTCCTTTATTGGTGCGAATAAAAATATGTAATATATAAAATAATACGCAGACAAATCCTTTATACAATCGAACATTTTTGTTACAACAATGACTGTGATATATTACAGTAATATTACTGTGATGCGTTTTCGCAGACATTGTAATATTACCGTGATATCTCAGTAGTATTACAGTAATATTTCTGCTACATTTCATTGTAATATTGCGATGGAAATGTGATATTACCGTGATATTATTGTAATATTACATGCTATGTGGATACTCACACAAGTGACACGTCACATACAGAGAACCGCCGCCATTTTCTCGCATGCAACCGGAAACCTTACGCGACACACGTTCGAAACCCTTGTTAGCAACCTAGTTTAATATCTGTATCTAAACCGTACATGATGGGTTTGGTTAGGGTTAGTTTTTTGGGTAGGGGGTGCGGGGGGTGGGGCTCCGCCTCTCCTCTGCGCAACACGTGTACTTTATGCATGTAGTAAGATATCTGTATATAATATATACATACAGAGACAATCGGAAAATTACAGTCCAAATAGTCGACTTCCTTTGTTCATAACTTTTTAATAAAGAGAGATCGCCATCTAAAACCACCAAAACATTACTCAGGAGGGTCACCTTTATCACATATGTGAAGGTCAAGGTCATCGGCGAGATGTCCCTTAATATGCATAATTACCGATTTAATTATTGTAATATTGAAAATAATTTTTGAAATACAACAACTTTTGTTTTATAAATTTTAGAATGATAGTGGGCCATCTTACCCAAAATGTGAGTGAAAGACGGTTATAATAGTACTTATAAACAAATAATGAAAACGAAGATAAAAATGCATGTTATATTACAATTTACATACCTACTTTATGTATCTAACGTTGATCGCGATAGCTTAACTGTAATTTATTCGACGTTACAGCAAGTAGATATATAAGAAATTTTAAAGGTAGTCGAAAATAAAAATATAGTATAATATTCATAATCTTGCTATTTCGAAAAATATGTGCATATATACTACGATAAATATCGATTATCTTTGTGACTGATTACACAAACGCCATGTTTTACAATTATTAGAGAAATTATAGCCTATGGCCATCTTTCCGGTGTGGCCATCATATCCGAGATTACCCTATATTTAACATTTCTTTCAATAATGAATATATAAACAATTTCCTGTGAATAATATATTGTACAATAAGTACATGTTTGTCTAAATCTGTAGTTTTCTGGGGCATTTAGTTCACGTACGAATTAATTAATCTTGACAAACCGGTTTTTTAATTTTTGGTTACTTGTAAGTATACCATATTTAAGTATATCATATAAAATTAATCAAAATGCTTTAGAAAAAATAATTGTTGATAGTCTTAAGTTAATAGTCTTAAATATAAATTGTATAATTCTGGCAATAGTTAAATGTAAATGTAACAGGAATATTAAAAAAAACTAAAGAAAAAAAGTTGGGACGTATACGTCTCACTAACCCGTAAAGGTTTGAAACAATAAACTGACCAAATTTTTAAATTATAAGTTATATTTAGTCTTACAAGAGAGTATTATTCAATAGATGTTCTATAAAAATATCTGAAAGAAGTCTCAAATAAAACGCGTAAAATAAGATGTCCATAAGACGTTTCTTTAATTTGTTGCCACGTTCTGTTTACATAAGTACGGTATCAGTATAGTATATTCAAAAAGGTGAGAATGGTAACAACGTTCCTTTCATATGTATAATTATTTATAATATATTTGCATGTTTTACAGAAAAACTATGGTTACGTCTGCATTTCGAAGCGGAGAAACATTATCCCATTCTTAAATTATGGCTTTTCTCTATACCCGTAATATCTATCCGTCATCCGGATGATCTCGAGGTATTTAAAAGAAAAGAAAGATTTAACGATAAAATTAAAAACAGACATAGTACTTATAAACATAAGTGTGTGTGTGTGTGTGTGTGTGTGTGTGTGTGTGTGTGTGTG